TTTGGCCATAATTTTATGCTCTGTAATTTCCAAAAATAATCACAGTTTTTACCTTGGATTGTTTCAACATTTTCCCACCAGCTGTATTGAAAGACAGGCACTCACAAAGTCTTTAGACTCGGCCAGTGTCAGTCAGGCATGGGTGAAGCTGTTGTTCATGTTCCACATTATTGCCTGTATTCTAAGGAGAAATATTTATAATTTTCAGCTGCTTTTTAAATGTCCCATTTTCTCTCACTTCCTCTTATTGTACTCAAACCACTTAAATTGCTGAGTTGAAAGTGGCAAAAAAATAATTTCTTCTCAAAAAATTCAGCATGGGGAAGACCAAACAAAGGGACCATGTCTTCCCAATCCCAGTAGGCTCAGGCAAAAACAAACTACTGCAGGCGCTCCTGGATTGTATATTCTTCCTCATTAATAGCTTTTGCCATCTTAAGCATGCTTTACTGTTGCTTGTCCTTGTGCATGCCAGTTTTCATGTGTGAAATATAGGAAGATGATGTGTTAAAATGGGAGCAGTATTTGGCAGGACTGGAAATAGATTCTGCTATAGATTTTTTGGCTACTGTTTACAGTACTTTGTATTTAACTTCTAATCATTAATTTATATGCTGTTGCTTCTAGAATAACTCACAAAATTAGGGAGACTTTATTATTTGACCGCTCCTGGACCCTAGCTAGGATGAAACAAACAGCCTGATCCCATGCATTTTAATCCAGCCTTGCAAGCAAGGCAGGAAAGCTTTGACCATTTCTGAGAACACAGACCTAGCTGTAAGCTCATGTGATGTGTAAGGTGGCACAACATGGTGCCACAGCATTTTCTGAAGTCATCCGTTATGTGCCTGGCTTTCTCCTAGAAAGCAAACTCCTGGAAGACAAGCCATTAGTAGTAATGGCATTAGGCAAGTAACAGTAAATCACTGTGTTAAATGCCTGCCTTCTTCTGCTAGCAGCTGCTTGAATATGACCAGTTGCTTCCTTCACTCCTGAAGCCTCTCTGAAGCTGGCTGTAATTGAATTCATCAATAGCTCACCTGGCATCTCCACGCACAGAGGCACTCTCAGTGAAAGCAAATCAAAGGACTGACTTCCAGGACATTATTTCATTGCAGCCAATTTTATTGTTGGCGTGTTGAATGAAAGGCCAGGCTTTGAAGTCCCTAACATGGAGTCATCCCTTGCCTGTTTGAAGACTTTTGACTGTTCACATCAACCCTTGCTTTGATGTGAATCCTAGAAATTTCTTACCTAGACTCCACCTACGTTTATTGGGACATCTGAGAATAATTGAAGCCTGATGCTACTTTTTTTTTAAAAGAAAGAGATCTTGTAAGGAATCCTTCAGGGTAAAGTGGCTTTTTTTAATTAAGCCTTTATGCATTTCTTACGCTTTACATCCACAGGATTCAGAGGACAATCTTTGAAAATATTATCATGAACCATTAGACTTGAATTTACCATTTTGGTCATTTTCAATACACAACTCTTTGTAGGTCATAGTATAGTGTGACTGCCTGGAATAATAAGGCATCACAAATAGCTTTGACTGGAAAATTAATAATAGTGTATTTATACTGTAGAATTAATGCAGTTTGACACCACTCTTAACTGCCATGGCGCAATGCTATGGAAACATGGGAGTTGTTATTTGTACCAGCACTCTTTGACAGAAGGTGAAAGATCCTGTAAAACTATAGCTCCTGTGGGCCCATATTATTGAGCCATGGCAGTTAAAATGGTGTCAAACTACATTAATTCTTATGGTACAGGTTCACTGCATATTACAAACAGCAAACGGGGGAAGGGAGATGGATGGAACCCCATTAGTGACTTACGACTTTGGAAGTGGACTTGTTTTCACAGGAATTAGAATTGGGCAGTCTGCAATGTGTGCATCCACGACTTGAGGGTTATTGCTGCCAGTAAAATCGCCAAATGTGCACTGAACATTGTGCATTGATCCTATTGTGTATAAAGACACTAGAAAATGCATTGGGACACATCCCATTGCACATCTTTGCAAATCATTATGAAGGTTTCTTAAAGCCTCTGCTACATATAAGTACAATTCTCTAATATATACAGTGATAGAGGCTTGCAGCTGAATCATTTGCAATGTCTGATATTATTTTAGAGGGACATACTGGGGAAGTGAGGCCAATAATGTTGGGCTTCTAAAGGTCTTCAGATCATTTTGTATGAGGAAACACACATTATGGCTTCATCCTTTAATTCTAAATATTGCTTTATGTTTGTGCACGACTATGCCTTGTGGAAGGGGATTGTTATAGCTGATGTTATGGCATGAATATTGATTAAAATTGTTCAGAAGAAGAATAAAATTCCACACCACATAATTCACCATATGGTTAAAAATGTCTGACTTGGGATTCATAAGTGATTGTATGCACGGTGGTTAAAAGGCTTACATATTGAAAATGATCACATGCACCGTGTTTAAAGGATTTACACATCTAAAATGAATTGAAATATGACCAAGACTTTTTCACACATGCATTCAGGAAACAACTTACAAATTATGCAGTGGGTATATTTGAGATCTTAAGCAGCATCTCCTTCACACATTTGCCCTGGCTTTTGGCAACTAGCAAAAGAGAAATAATAGAATAGAATAACCTTCTTGTTATTGTATATTATACAACAAAATTAAATGCCATCCACATTATATAAATACAAAAACAAAACACCCATCCTTCCACGTTCTAATCACTATTTCACAATCCCTACAGCCACGTCAATGTGAACCCATAGAGTTCAATATAGTTACTGCTCTGGGATAAATATAGTTACATATATAGTAATATAGTTACAGCTCTGGCGTGGGCTGGTCCATGAGGTCACGAAGAGTCGGAAATGACTGAACGAATGAACAACAACAACTGGGATAAAAGCTATCTCTCAGGCTCCTTCCACACAGCTGAATAAAATACCACATTTTCTGCTTTGAACTGGGATAGATGGCAGTGTGGACTCAGATAACCCAGTTCAAAGCAGATATTGTGGGAATTTATGTCGATATTCTATTTTATATATTTGTGTGGAAGGGTCCTCAGTCTATTTTTGTCCTTGTTTT